GGACTATTAAAGGAATATCTTAAAGGAATATCTTTATTTAAAATTCTAGTGAGATCCTACTCTGTATATATCTACAGTATCTACATTTTAATGAAAGGTTCATGTAGTCCAGGGTTTGAAAAGTTAACTCAGTATAATCAGAATCACTTTTATTGGCCAGGTTCGCACACATGCAATGAATTTGACTCCAGTTTTACGTTGCTCTCAATGTACATGGAGAGAATAAGCATAAATAAAACAGGACAACAAGCTCAACAAAAACAGACATAAACTACTGTGTACAGTAGACAATAGTGCAGGACGCTGAAATAAATATTTACGTGCAGTTATTTCTCTGTACATGGGGTAGGTGGATATGACAGTATAGAAACTGAATAAATATCCTATAAGAAGAGTTTGCGCAAAGTGAATTACTGTTTATCGCATTCATTTAGAAACCAGCAAACCTCCAAAGAAGGCTTTGGTGAAATGTTGTGAAGGATCTTGAGTGCTTACTTCTGAATGCATTTACTTCAGATAATGTCTGAATTAATTATATTAAGGCAGCAGATTCAGTGTATGCCCAAGATACTTACAATGTTGGCTGCTCTGACGTGCATCTCATAGTGGTCCTGCTCTGCTTGGGTTGCTCTGGAAACCTGCGTCTCATCCTCTATCTGGGGACAGAAAACAGTGCGACAACATTACATATACGACTGTGTTTGAAGGGCAAAGAGACGGAAGGTTAAGAGAGAGGGAACGACAGGAAATTAAGACATTAAAGTGGTAGAAGAACAGAGGAACTGGAAGTCACTGTGTCCATGTACCTTCGCTGTTTTGATAATTTCTGTGAAGTTGTCCAGGATGGACCGGATATCATCTTTCAGTCTCTTGTTGTAGTTCTGTAGCAGACTCTCTTTGCTTTGAGGGAGCACTCTCTGAGAAGCCATCGTGCTCAGCAACAGGCGACGTTACCTGTTCACATGAAGTTAAACACACACACACACACACACACACACACCTTCAGTAGCTGCTGAGGTCCACACAATCCGCGAGAAGACGAGCTAAAATAACAGAAACGGGTGAGACGTCTCGAAAAAACGTGTTTAATGTGGTTTCAGTGTCTTTACCACTGCGTAAATATGTTTTAATGTGTGTTCTGTAATGGTTATCACTTACTTCTTACCGCATACTTTGTAAACAATGTCGTTATTGTATAAAACAACCACTACGTTTGCTCTCCTTTCTTCTTGTTGGTGTTTAATGGCGGCTGACATCCGGTGTGTCTGTGCGCATTATCGCCCTCCTATGGTTCCTGAACCTGGTTCCTTCCTGACTCAGTGACATATTGTATGGATATTTCATATTATACACAATGCATAACAGTAACATTAGAGAACAACTAATAAACTGAACGATAAACCTAAATAATGAGCAATATATAACGCAATAACTGAGCAATTTGGTTGGATTTTGAGCAGATAATTTCCTGTGAATATTGCATCAGATGAGTTTCCCTGATCATTTTAGTAGACTTTAAATATAATTCTGTTAGTATTGTTTTTTATTTATTTATTTTACAATCATACATATTTAATAGGCTTCTGTTTTTTTTTTTTTTTTTCTTACAAATTCAGTGTTTGAAATGTTTGAGATACAGCTCGATATTCTTAGAAGTTTTCTCCAGGCTGCTTAAAATTAAGAAGGCATTTGAAGCTTTGGCGACCCCTAGTGGGAGTCCTGACCCATAGGTTGGGAACCACTGCTCTAGTAAATATATAAATTCCAAGGGGCTTTATTGGCATGGGAAACAACATGTTAGCATTGCCAAAGCAAGTGTACAAGAGATTAGTAGATACAATTATAATAACTTAAAATAAAATAGAAAAAAAATAAAAGTAGACAAAACAAGACAAAGTGTCGCTTTACAGAGAAAAGGGTCGGTTTTTATCTCTTTTCTTTAATTTGTGTATTTACATGAATAAATGCTTAAACCACTGGAAGTAAACCTTTCATAACTGTTTAAGTGGCAGAAGACCTACACTCAGAAATAAAAGCACAAATGTTTTATCAGCAAAATGTATTTCAGGCATGAAAAGTAAAAGTTCTCATCATGAAGCAAAACAGTCCCTATAGGCACGTTATAATATTGGGTTGTTATCATTGATTGCATTAACATAAAAGGAGCATTATAATGTTGTAGTTGGTTGAGCTGAAAATGTGTTTGTGTAAGATTAGTGTATAAGTTTTCAGATAAATGTAGTGGAGTTTCTTATATCTGCAGCTGTGTTTTAGTGATTATAAATAACTGCAAAGACTGTGCAACATTTGATTTACATTCATTTAATAGTTTTTTTTTACGATTTACAACATAGTTTTCAAAGGCAGGCTGTGCAGCATAACAAGTATTTCGAGTGCTTTTTTGTCCAACATGTCGAATTCTCCAAAGACTTCCAATATAACACTGTTCGAAATACATTTTACAGCTGTCAAAACACATTCTTAGGGAACCCTGACTCTGTGTCAATGACTATGTGCAACCTTCATGTATACAAGTTGGGTGAGAAACGTGAGAATTTATAAAAAAGATTGTACACTTCAAAAAGAAAAGAAAACAGAGGACTTTACATTGCAACAGAGGAATACATGAATTAAACTTTGGGTTGAAACAGGTTGGATCCCCTTTTCTTAAAAGTGCCATGGTGGGAAACAAAAAGTGTTCCATGATTTTACAAAGCACAAAGACAATAAAATATTCCCAAATGGCGATGGAAATAAATTCAAAAAGGAATGTCATCAATCGGTCACCATTCAAGATTTCACTTACACGATACTACTGTTACAATCCCTGACTGGAACTGCTTAGCATAAGTGCTGTAGATATTTGTGTGACTGCAGGAAAGCATTTTTTTTTTTAAGTTGCAGTTTACGTTTTTATTGTATTTGTTCTTAAGTGTGAGTCACAGTACACATATGGAGTTTATAGATGTCTATGATGGAGTTGAAGGAAAGTCAAAAAGGAAGTTGTACATGAATGTACGCAAGTATTTGGTGGTGAATGCAAGTGCAATAAAACAATGTAAATGCAGCAGTTTGTTTTTTTTAAAGAGGGCACAAAAGGCAAAAGTGATTTGTGCTGTCTGATGTGGTAGAACGGAAGTACTGTAAGAGTGTAAGGCTTCAGAGATATCATCTTGTAAAGTAACAAACAAAAGTCAATCTTCCACATCGTATATAACATAGGAACTACTCTAATGCGTTTTCTATGCCTACCATTTATATACGGTTCGTACGTTACATGGAATAAACACTGATATTCCAATTTCATCAGACAGGACAGTGACCACAAACATAATACACATGACAAAAATGCAAACATTTTGGAACAAAAAAAAGTTTCATATCAACAAATGTTATCTTTGAAATGTCATTATCCAGCATCTGCTTCATAACAAACAAATCTATTGACTTTGAGGGTATAACTGTAAGGCCGTTCAAAGATGTATTGTTTTATGTCATTATAGATAAATTCCACTGAAACATCTTGTCGCAAAAATCTCAATCAAATATAGTGTTGAGAGACTGCGGATGTGTTTCACTCACTCAGTGCTTTACAGTGTCTTTTCCTCTTCCAGGCTTCTGTGAAGTCATGATCTTGTGATTCAAGCTGAATCCATCCTATCTGAGAACTAGGCTGATTATGCGATGGAGGAGTGAGGCGTTATCAGATCATAATTTCACAGTAAAGCTCAAATATACAGGAAAGCTGCAGACAATCTACCCACTCCCTCACTGTGTGGTATTTAGGTGACACAAAAGGTAACTGAGGTAAGCAGGAAAACAATCAAATGCCTGTCCACCACATTGTCTTTGTGTAGATGTACGTACCAAAAGGATTAAGGACAATTCAAAAGGTAAACGGATGTGACAGAAAACACAAAAAGTGACTCGGAATCTGGGAATGATGTCAGTTTTCTTACTCTAATGGAGCATTCAAGTGTGAAGATGACCTTGCACTATCAGAACTAATTGGAGCCAGTTAAGAATGAGATCCATGCAGGCCTGCAGTCCAGCTGCAGCGCTGGTGACAGCATGCAGTACGCCTGTTAGAGTTTGCATAATTAAGTGGCGCCGATACCCACTGCTCTGACCTCCCTGAGTGTGCGTTCAGGGCTTTTCTTGCGGGGCCTTGAGGTGAAAGGGTGCAGAGACGAAAGGGTCTACAGTGCTCACGTCTGAGGTCCATGAGTGAAGAGGTCCAACAGGGACTGACGCCACAGTGGCTTGCCTGCTCACGTTAGACACTACTTTATGAGCTGCTACTGGCTGCTGCGGCACAGGTCCCTCAAAGTGTCGGGAATATTTGGCCAGAGCTTGAGGACGGAACGGTTGTTGGGCGACTTGTCCCAACACACCTTGATCAGGGGATACACCTTGAACTCCAGCAGCATGAGGATATGAGGTCTTGGGGTGAGCTCCTGTAGCCTCCTTTCGTTTTCCGAAGGGAGCCTGAGAGAACACATCGAGCTGCTGCTGAGCCGAAAGGGCGGGACGCGGAAACGGAGCATTGGCGAACACATCGCATGCTTCTTCTTGCTTAATCTGAAATAGGGCTTGAGAGAAAACATCTGTGGCGACTTCTGCCCCCTTTGCTGGCTCGTGTACATGCTGGGAATGATTCGGAGCAAATGTGCTCGGTGTAGGTTGATGGAAGGTAGTAGATGGTTGTGTTGGTGCTGCGTTGGACTGCGATGGTGGGAGGAGGGCTAACTGAGGTGCTGGTTCTTCCTCATCCTCAGAGTCCAGCAGAGGTCTGGAGCCACTGCAGTCATGGGCTGTTTCATGACTCTCAATGGCTCCTTCCTCCTGCTGCTCTTCCTTACAGGCTTCTTTCTCCTCATCTTCATCGCTGGAGTGCACACATCCCTCGTTTATTTGAGATTCTCCTACTGGAGGTTCAGTCTCTTGTCCCTCACCAAGCACAGAGTAGCCATTACTCTCCCCTTGCACATCTGTATCAGAGAGCAGAGATGAGAGAAAACATATGAGAGGTGAACAAAAACTTTAAGACAGTATAAATATTGTAACAAGAAATGTACCACCTGAAGTTCAGCTGACCACTTATCTACCAGGCCATCAAACCTCAGTCACACACATTACATTCTATATGACCGATGGATCATCTGTAACATCTTCAACCACTGAAGAATCAATGAGAACGACCTAACAGTGAGAAACCAGCACAAGACTACAACAATACAGACACATTCTACTCTGAACAAGTCACATAAGACAGACACGACTAGTCAGCTCTACCATTACAACATCAAATAACCTTGTTTCCACAAATTATTCCACAAATTGTTACCACAGCTGCAGTACTATCCTCAACCTCCAAAAACAGTGCCTGGTGTTAGGGGGAAACGGTGACAGCAGTTTAGCTTTTTAGTTAGAATTGATTCTGTTGAGGTAGAGGGAGCTCAGAGGGAGTCAGTAGGTCTGTGGAAACAAGGACAAAAAGCCAGCAAAAGTAGAGGTAATTAGGGACAGACAGGTTTGCACAGATGAGCAGAGACAGATCAGTCTTACCTCAGCAGAGTCGGCAGCAGCTGTTAACTGGCAGCTCTTGGGAAGATGTTAGTTGCAGCCATTAAAGGAAAACACCTGTTTTTGTTTTGTTTTTAAACTTCTTGGGAAATTTCCTTCAGCACGCGATAGTTTCAAACTGTCCACGGTCCATTTCACATAGTATACACTTTTCTACATGATTTGAGCCAGAGTTAATCAAACTGAAAAATGACCCACAGATCATCTAACCAGTCAGAGCTGACTATGGGAACAACAACAAACAGTCAGACTTCTCATGTAATCGTGCAGAATAACGGCTATCAATACCTCACAATACAGCTTATAGACCCTACAGTCTATCTACCATTCAAGGACTCAAAGCCCGCTCCCAAAGTTTCTGGCCTAGAGAGTTAAAATATGTGTCTAGCAACATCCAGGAAGCATATAACTACTAAGAGATGAAGGGGAGTACGAGAGAAAACCTACATAGAAAACACTGGAATAGTCTTTTAAAGCTCGAAAGGACAACTGCGCTAGTTGTCAGACAGACAAGTGTCTGACGACGCTTGTGCTACGTGATGCAATACTGAAATCTGAGCAGAAAAAGGCCTTGGTGGACACCAACAAGTTAGATTAGAACATCTGGAATCTAATTTGGCTCCCACAAGGAAAAATGATCTGCTAATTAAAACAATGAAAATGGAAGAATAAATCTTCAGACCGCCAGCTGGCTCTTTTTTCTTCCGAGTAAAGAATCAAATAACGTGACCAAAAGACTTAATTTACATTCACATAAATGAGTTTTATTCTGTGTCTCTCTTTTTGAACCTTAATTCATAAAAATAGAAGTACACACTCCATAATGATCCTGCATTGACACATGGACATCTGCCAAATCATGTCAAACATTTTGAAATAATCAATCATTTTTATACCTGCCACCATACCAACCCAACCAGCACAATAAGTACATCGGTTTCACACAGCAACACAAGTAAAACTCTACAGCCAAGGCGAGAACTCTACAGGATACAGCACTGTACTGTACTGTCTGATAAGAACATGAAGCATTATTGTAGGATTGCATAGATTAGCAACAAAAATGCAAATGACTTAACTGAACAACATTAGATGGAAAGAAAAAAGCACAGTTTTATTTAACCATGCAAGTTCTTACAGTATTGTCGATGTCTATGACTAACCTTTACAATATGGCATTCTGGGAGGAGGAGGAGAAAGCTATTTATGTCTTAAACTTTAAAATGTACAGTTTTGTGTTTGTATGTACATACAGTGTGTAAGGTGATATGGACCCTAAAACGAGACTTTCCTTAGCTGCAGAAAAGCCAGAATGAAAAGTAATACTTGGTGGGATTTTGACATTAAAGATGTAATGCAAAGTCAACTGTCGTGTGATCAGCCTTTCTTGATGATCATCAACCAAATTAAATAGTTATCAGAGGTAAAAGGTGCTACAGAGATATCGGGAAATAAATTCCGTCATTAGCTCCGTTTTGCTCCCTTTTAGATAAAATCTATCCACGTAATATACGGTAAATTACAAGTACTGGTATTGTGTAAAGAACTGTGGTGGAGGGATAAAAATACTATCCAGTCAGGTAAGTCATAAGCACTTTGTTTCATGTATCGACGATGACATCTAAAACAAAAGCGCTAGCTGAATGCTTGACATGAATGGAGGACAGGCAGAGGGACTTTGGACAGAGGAGAGGGTCAACAACTTTGCACTCTTAAATACAGCTTCATACACAAATATTTTTTTTATCTATATATCCTTATAAATTTTAACATATTTCCTAATAGTACTCAATTCATACATTCATTCTAAAGCACTATCAATAATAGTCACATTTATTCATACCATGATAGATGAAATGCCTTTAAATATTACATACTAAAAAAAAACTACTTTTACCAGTGCTGACAGAACAAATAGTGATTTTATGTACATATAAAGTAGTTTTTCTGAAATGTCACATTGGCCACATGACCTCAACGTAGAGGGGGTGTCAATGGGAGAGGGAGATTTTCATGTAAAGCTTATTTGTTACCACAGTATCTACATTGACATCTACACTGTACCTTCCTCTCTGTAACAGCGGTATGCTGCTTAAAATCTGCTCGTCTTCTCTGACACTGAGAGCAGACTGACACATGGCAAACAGCATTATAATAGTCATTTGCTTTAGCTTTGGCATGGCTGCAAGTCAAATAATTTAATTCCCTTTTTGTTTGTGCTGTGCTTATCTTGACACTGGGTCAGAGATGTGATGTTGAGTTCATGACCCTCGACACAAAAAGATGTCATAAAATGCTCACATACCATTAATGGTTTTTTAGTGTGTTGTAGATAATGCTGACAGTGAAAGCATCTTGCCATGACAATGGAGCCGAATGATTCAGCCATGTAACACTGACTTCGCCAGTTTCAGGATTTCAAGACATCATCCTAACTGACAGATTTACAGGTGGAGTCTCAGGAGAAATAATTCCCTCCTTATGATCCAGAAAGAGGTGACAATATACAGTTCTGCTGAAGCTGCAGCTCTCAATACACGTACTAAGTTACTTTAGATAAATAGCTGTTAAAGACATAGATACTGCTCTATGTGGGAATAGTAGCACAGAAATTAGCAGATCTGACTTCCTAAGATGGTGCACTGAGATCATAGCCAAACAACATGTTTGAAAAAAAAAAGCAGCCTAATTCTCTTTGCACAACAGTAAACCGCGACAGTTAATCTGTAGACTGCCAAAATTTTTCTTTACAAACTGGTTCTATCAGTGCAAACAGCTCTGAGATTTGTTTGATCAATAGTTCACAGGAAAAGTGCATCACATATCCTGGAGGTGTACAGCATTTTGGCTCCTCACTCTTTAGTCAGACCCCTGACACAAATGAGCATGCCCAAAGGAGGCTTGTTTAAATAAAGCTTCAACCCTGAACGAGTACACAAAGTGAACACAATGCAGCTGTGACCAAGCAGTTTAACAAGTGCATACGATGACAGTCGATCACCATGGCAGTGCGCTCAATGAGGGATTTTAATGCAAGTATGAGGAAAGCATGAGGAAGACCATGGTATAGCTGGGACAGAAGCAGACGATATGCTCAGGCATTAATGAAAAGATTTTTACCAGCGTGGGAATGTCAATGGCCAGCAGATATATACGAAACCAGCTTATCAGGCAACTAGAGATGGAGTTGAGGCCAAGGAGGCACATTAAAAGAAAGGTTCCACTGAACCGATCTATGCTGGCGCCTCTCTTTCACATAAGGTGCTACATTAAGTGCCTCTGATCACATCTCTATCCCCCCCCCCCCTCCCTTTGTTAGGATTGCACACTGCCCCTTCGACCTCTCCCACCCCCTCTAGAGGTCGATGAGCTGATCCACCAGCAGAAGGGAGCGGGCCAAGTTGGGGATGCTGGATTCTGAACTGCCACTGTTGCTGCGCGAGTGACCACCTGAAACGTGCCAGAAAGAGAGAGAGAGAGAGAGAGAGAGACAGAGATGGACATGGAAGAGCCGAGGTAGATTGTGAAAAACAAGCAAAAGAATAAGTAATATTAACAGAGATTGTATGGAGAAATTAAGAGCGAGGAGTTGATGAAGATGAAGGGAAAATGATGGCAGAGCAGAGAGATGCATGAACGGGGGCAGAAAGAGAAAAAGAAACAGGCAGAGAGTGAGCTGGGATAATCTTTATACAGCTGCATCATTACAGGGGGGAGAGTAAGGGAATGCCTTTCAAACATGAGGAGACTTTCAAGATAAACTACAAAGAGCCAAACACCTGCGAGGTGGAGAACCACTGGCAGTGTAACATTAGACACAAAAGAGGGAAGGATGACTAATGTGAGAGCTTGATGGGATAAAAAAAAAAGCCTTAATGTGACAAGCACACCCATACAAGCCTTCTTCTCATCAGCAGTCAAAGGAAAAAGCTATGGCAACTAATTTGTGGTTCATTGTCTGGGCTTCTGCAGGTGTGAGTGCTCATCTCGGGATTATGTTAACCTTACCTTGATTTGAGTTTTTGGAGATGAGCACGGGAATAGGGTCAAACTCGTCATCATTGCCTTTCTCCCCACACGACATGAGGAAAGCAGAGTCTGCGGTGAAGGAAGAGGAAGTGAAGGAATGATGGAGGGGGGAAAGAAGTTAACTCAGCCAAAGAAAAGAGCAAAAAGAGGAAGATGCAAAGAGATTAAAATAGATGGAGCCAGGGTAGTCACAGTATTTAAAAGCCATGCATTTTAGGTGGCTTTTGGCTCTTCTACAAATGAGTCAAGGGTCTGTGAATCGGTTATTGAATGTGTCCAATTCCATCATATGTGAGACTTTGTTTTCTGTTCGAACTGTTTTTGAAAGGATCTGCAGCCTGTGAGGGTTTCACGGGCTGAAACACCCAGCATACATAAGGCTAGCCGAGGGGTGCTGCAAAGGGGAGGTCTTACCAGAAGCTGTCTGACCGGGCGGTAGATCCTCCAGACAGGATCCAGAGCCGGAGCCAGGAGGAGCAGAGGAGCAGGAGGAGGAAGGGAGAGCAGAAACAGACTGGTTTCCATGAGGTGAAGTATGAGATAACAGATCGCAACCCAGCAGAGAGTCCTCCCCAGTGAGAGAGTCTGAGATAGGATGAAGCAAAGCCAGAGAGACAAGGGGTCACAGTAAAAATAAGATTGTTAGCTTACAGAGCAGAGGAAAATGCAACTTGTTAGTAAAGGCAGTTCACTGTTTTGTCTCTGAAAGCATATCATAATCTGCATCAAAGCAAAGTTTTCTAGAAATCCAAGAAAATATGCTGCAAAGCCAGGGGCAGGAGCTTTAACACTCAGCAGTAGCTATGAAAATCTACATTTGCCACAACTGATATCCATAATTACAGAAGAATGTTGACTATGGGTAGAAGATTAGCACGGATAATGAAAAATCTGTTAAATGTTCTCACTGAATACTTCACATCATAGAAAAAAACATCATGGTTCAGACTACTGCGCCACACTAAAGCAACTGTTCCAGTCACTGAAGTTAGCTGCCATTTTGAATGAACGACAGGTCAAAATGATTTGTTGTTTTAGTGTTTTTGCCAGGACAAGTGATACATTAGTGAATGCAGCTGTAGAAATCACTCAATAAAAACCTCGGGTCAAGATGATAAGTGAACAAGTGACAAGGGGATCCATGACCACAACTGGAAACAGTTATTCTTGGTGAAAATGCTGCAAAGAATTATGTGTTTTCCCATTCTGTGGTCCAGGATGCTAACCTGGCACGCTGGCCGGGATGAGCTCTGGCTGGCCTGAATGTCGCTGGGCCTGGGGGGCTCCCAAACCAGGAATTAGTGAATCGACACACACATCTGCCTTCACTACAAGGAGACAGCAAGTGGAAAAAACAGCAACACAAAGACATTATTAGTCATTTTAATGAAAATAGATTGCCTTAGTAGGGATAAAATCGGTGGAGGCTTTCGTCACTCCTTCCCCCAGAGGGTCTTTCCAACTTCGTTACCATGTCAGTGAAAGAGGAGAAGGAAAGCAAAGAAGTCGCATGCAGAGCAGACGGGGAATTTTAGGTCAAGGCAGGGGACAAAAACAGAGCTAGTACCATTGGTGGAGCTCTCTGCAGAACTATTGAAGGGGTCAGCCAGGGTTAAGAGGTCAGGGAGCAGCAGAGAAATTTCAGGGGACTTCAGTCCCTCAATCAGCTTCTCTGTGAGCAAGCCAGAGAGAGAAGATGGGAGAGTAGTTGGTGGCAACAGATGGCAAGACAGAGGCAAAAGGCAACAAGGGAGGATTTTGAATACAAATAAAAAAGGAGCAGAAAAACGAAAGAGATATGAAACTCTAGAAATGTGGGGAAATGATTTCATTATAATTACATTTTAGTAATATTTATAATATAGTATATATCAAGCTACATTTTAAGGGACAAAAAATATGTTTAAGAGGCAAAAAGAAAGATGATATAAGAAAGGAAGGAAATGATAGGAGGTGGACTATAAAGACCATCATGTGAACATTTCAAGGTCATTTTACATTCAGATGACTTGGTTGCCTTCAACGTCAATGAAACCAAAATACAACGATAAAATAGTTGAATGATTTGTTAGTTTCTTTCTACCACAGCCACACACTCCAAGGCCAGTAAGCTGAGTGTAAGCTCATGCATTCACAGGACAAAACTCTACTATCCTTTACGAGTACAAGTACGGTACCAAACTATTAATGCATAAAACATTGAGAATTGTTCACACTCTTGAAGTACACACTTCAACATCACACATTTTATTATACAAAACAAGCCAGAGCAATGAGTGAGTTTCTTCCCAGCTGTCATATATTGCATGATGCATCACTGTCTACACCCCAACCCTCTCAACTCATTTTTGGACCGGTGCAGACAAATGAGCAGAGGACATCTTTGTTAAGTTGGTTTTAATAAACATACACTATTTTTATCATTATTTTCTTAAAATGATGCACGTATATTATTATTAAAAAAAAGTACTGATTTGATCAAGTCCATGCATGAAACGACAAACGACTGACTTTTCACTGGGGTTCATACTTACAGGAAATGGCTATGGGGGGAAAATGGGATGGGGGGGCCTTAGACAAGGAATGTGTTGGCTCAGAAAATGGCACAGCAGATGTGACCTTTTGCCCCCTTCGCTATAGGAAAGAGGCCAACACTGATGAAACGCTTTTTACAAATCTCAAAGGTCAAAAGGCTTCTCACAAAGTCAATAAAGAACATATTTAATATTAAATACACTATTTGTTTTACTTAATTTCTACGAGGCTGTCCATATCCTTAGATGGGGCTCTCTGCTCTATCAGCTAGAGGCTGTGTTAGCTTGTGTGCATCCTTGTGAGCGATACAGAGAGAGTCAAAGAGACAGCTTAGGCTGGGTGGAGAAGATTAACCCCATCCTGATTACGTAATAGCCTCAACATTTTTATCCCCTCGGTTCAGGCCTTAAACAGCAACTACACAAAAAGGAGGATACACAGCTAAGAAGCATACACTTCCAAAAGGGCAAAAGGCTAAACTGAGAAGAACATAAAAGTCTGGGTCATCATTTTAACAAGGAAGCATGCTTAACTTTCTCTTGTTCTTAGGGCCACTGGTAAGCAGGCTCCTCCAGCAGTAAGGCAATCCAATTAACAAAGGAGAATTTGTCCTTCGCGTTGCCAGGCAACTGCGAAAGCACAGATCTGCAAATGAGATGCGATCTAGCTGTAGCTATGGTCTCTATTCATGGAAGCTGACAAGGAGCCACTGTGAGGCTGCTCGCTATGTCAACAAGATAGGGCCGTGTACAAATCCAAACCACAAAACTAGCACTAATAAACGAACCACTGGGAAGTGTGATATCCAGGAAAACTACTTAAGTAAATAAAGAAGTGACTCATAAGCTCTGAGAATATATTTGTTCACGAGCCTAAGGCCTGAGAGAATCAAAGGCACAGCTCGTTCTGTGTTATGTTCTGACAAGAAAATTACCTGTGGTGTCACAGAGGGTATTAAAAGGGTCCGGGGCAGTCAACAACGCTGAACCTGCACTCATGATACCTGCAGATCCTTCGGCTTAACATTGCACAGTGGATACAGATGGAAGAGAACAAATGAAGGAACGTGAGAGTATGAACAACAGAAAAAACGAGTGGGTGGGATATAAGCTAACTTTTATGACAACTTCAGACATTCGTCATCCAGCTAAATGGTTGGATTCCACCTATCTCCATATGGAATAGTTGCATGTAGCTGACACATCACTCAAAGAGAAGCCTCCTGGAAAATAATGTATGAAAAGCAATGACACAGTATATTGAGAGGAAATAATAAAAGGCTTACCTGGAAAAGCATTGAGGCCTGGAATGAGATTTTCACTGGAGCCTGTGGCCTTATCTCCTGTTGCAGCAGCTGTGCACAAACAAACAGAAAGTATCAAATACATTTTTAGATCAAACAACTATTTACCAATGCTGCAGGTGTAAGTAATCATGAACCAGTTGAACTCACTCTCAGCTAGCTTTGCAAAGTCTTTGTTAAGCAGCTCCTCCGCTGTTAGCTTGGAGAAGTTATCATCCCCAAATGGGTTCCAGCTGGGCTGCGGGTTGGGTGCAGTAAAGGCTGCTTGGACATCACTATCACCTGGATGATACACACTCTGTTGGGATGAGCAGGGGGAACCAGAGGGAGTAGTGCTGGCTGATCTGCAGTACACAGAGGTGTAAACATAAACAAGGTTAAGAGTGCACAGTGAAATTTGATTATTGGCTGTAAGTGTGCACTGAGCTACTGAAGTATGCAAATAAGAGTGAGTGAGTTATTTAAAGACTGAATCAAGTGATTCTTCTGAAGCTGGATTCTCTGGGATGTAAAGGCGTTGTTTATTCTCCTTTGGGGTTCTGTCATATGAAAGGACTGTCTATTGCCCTTTTCAGCTCACCCAGTGCCATGAAAGGACAGTTCATCCTCGAATCACTGAAGGGAGTTAATTCTGCTCACTTGGACTTATTGAGGCTGGCCTCAGCTGCGGCTGCCTGGAGTAGCTGGGTGGACTTGCTGACTGGGACCCCAAACACGGCACTGTGAGTGACATCACTCAGGATGCGTCTGTGGCCGCTCTTAGGGGCTATCTTTGGCGACGAGGGGGGTGTCAGTGAGCCGACTTTGTGAATCCCTCTGCCAGCCGTCTATAAGGAGAAGAATACATACAGAATGGTAAATATGAGGGAAAATGTCCTTGATGCCAATTTCAGTTTAGTGTATAAAGAGAAACAAAGAAATCGGACTCCCAACACATACGAACACCAAGCAAGCAAGATCTACTGGAAAAGAGAATCAGAAAAAGAAGGATTATAAATTCCTCGAAAACCACAACAGAGAGAAAAACTGTTATGGAAAAGGGGAGAAAGTATTTTCAGTACAGAGATTGTAAAGAAATGGATATACCTCATGAAAACAAAGAGTATGGTCAACAAAGTATGAAAAAAATAATAATTAGATCGCTCAAGGAAGCAGTTTAGAATGCAAAACTAAATGATTTGGTTATCACGTCATTTACACAGTATCTAACTGCAGCAATGAAAGACAGGAATAAAAGAACATATCTAGCTACGTGGCATTCACATTATCCTATTTAATATATTCCGTGAGAGCATTCCTGCCTCCTGTGCCCCAGAAGAGGAATAGTAAAGATGCAGATGTGATTGGAAAGAGACAAGCTGGTAATCAACTCCCTGTCCCAAAAGAGCTGCAGACAGCAACAGGAGTAGGATGTTACCACGATCTCTGGGGCAGCTGCAGTACCAACGACTGCAGACTCAGGGATGGGGGTCAGATGAGAAGCTGCTGTTTCATGGACAGAGGTTACATGCTGTTGCTGCTGTTGGTGTTGCAGTTGCAGGGCAACAACTGGAGGAACAGGCTTAGTTTTGGACTGCAGCAGGGAAGACGGGTGAGATGCTGTTTGCTGTTTCTGTTGCTGGAGGCTCTGCACCAGTTGATGCTACATAAGAACACCACACAGCCAAGCATGAGGAAGGCCTAGTTTGTCATGATTTATAGCTCTTTGACAAGTGCAGCTGCCATTTATAGCATACTTTTCATGGTTTATTTTCTACCCTTTTGACAGTACACAATGGAAATCAAGAGAAAATATAGGACAGAGGGAGGGAGACAGACACAGAGAGATAGAAATGGAGGAGGGAGAGTGAGAAGAAATGTTCACAAAATGTTATAATAAATAGTCTTTTGTCCCTAAGAGCACAGACTGCATTGGAAAAATACACCAGCGATGAATAGTATTATATGTACGTTACATTTTAACTACACTAAACAACAGCTTTTATAAGAAGACATTTTAAACAAGGAGCAGGCCTGCTTAGACTAAAAACACTAACAGAGGGAATAATCAGAGGCGTTACTGTCCATTCATGAATACTTAAAGCAACGTTTCTACCTTAATATAACTTCAGAATTATTTTGATGCTGTTAAACTGTCTTGTAATAGGGTGAAGGGTGCACCCCATACGCCTGTTTGTGCACTATGTAACTTTGGTTTCCAGGTCGGAACAAGTGCATAACCCTTACGGCACTACATCACACAACACCAACTATGTCAGTGATTTTGATTAAACTGGATCATATTTTATGGAGAAAATGTTTTCTGGTTTTCCTCGTGATGTCCTCCGCCTGCTCCACCTCAACTCTCAGTGATTTACAGAGTTTCCTGTCGGACAGTGAAGTAACTGCTGTGAAATGTAGCTGCTGTTAGTTGTTAATCATGAAAAATGCAGTCCATATTTACGATAGTGGTATTGCAGTGGGGGCACGTCACAAAAATCTTTCATAATGTTGCTTTAAATTAAAATTAAAACATCAAAAAGAAATCATAATAGTTTAATTCAACAGCCTGAACCACAAGATAAACAGATACCATGGTCAAACAAACTTGCAGGCCCACAGCATGTGTTTGTATATTTAAGATTACGGCTCATTACCAGCTCAATCAACAGTAATTTGTAAATGGTATCACACTGTGTGTATGGATACTGATATTGTGAAATGAGCTGAACAAACTGATAATCCAAAACTGTGTCTGTATTGTGGTCAATCACGCTAATCAAAATAAATACAATGCTAACACCTGCAAGTGTTGCCAAATACTTACTGTTTTCCAAAGGTTCCATTACACAGGACAACAAAGACCTTTCTAGGAACAGGAAGGAATGAATCAAGTCATCGCTTTTTATCAGTTATTGGACTAATTTGTAAGGGGTCTAATGTTTTCAGATGTGGTGAGAAATCTAGCATGACTGTGCTAAATAAAGTAGAAATATTCTGTGAATAAAGGAATATTTATTTCCCAACCATTTTTACTCAAACTATTTGCTCTGACACTGTTTTTTTTGGTTGAAGATTTGACTGTATGCCTGAAAATGACTCAAGACGTACACACTGTATTTTCACACCACCGGCCAGCATCTGTAAGTGAGTCAAAAAGTAATTTTTCATTTTTCGTCTGCCAAGATGCCTACCTGCTGGTTACTCTGCGGGCTTAAGAAGGCAGCGACCTGCTGCTGCTTCATGAGGAGCTGCTGATGCTGCGGTGTAGCCTGCGGCTGCATGTTGGCGGTCTGAACTGGCTGTGTAGCAGGAGCCTGTTGAGCAGGTTGGACAGCAGCTGCAGCTGTTGGTGGGACATTCATGCCAACACCTGGAAGGGAGAAAAATTAGAAGAAAGAGAAGAATATGGACCTATCATTTATCACATCAAATTTATCTTTTGAAAAAGCAACCACAGAACACAAATTTGGACAGATTCTTGTTTTTATCTAACTGTCAAGTACGCAAACTTTTGGCATGTTGTAAAAATAAAAGGTGAATTAAGTGTTTGTGCATTTGTATTTGTGTGTAACTATTTATGTAATTGTAAGCTTCCTTAAATGTCAAAAAGGACCTTCAAATTAGAAACATTTCAATTTCAATAACTGGTCATATTTGAGCAAGCTGATGCTTTGGGCCAAATCTCCACTTTCATCTGACAAAGAAAATATATAAATAAAGCAAGAAAATACTTTTCTATATTGTAAGGTAACAATGAAAGCATTTATTTTACATAAAGGATTAAGAATAGCTGAATAAGTATTTTTAGAATTAGTTTTTGCCACTTTTTATATCAACACATTATACATTTTAAACCACAAACACTACTTAGAGACCCAGCAAATGAGTGCATTACAATTGCCCATAAAAAAACATGAGAGTATGCTGCTGTAATTAATGTGACATCATGCCACCATCTATTCTGTTTGCAAGTGGGCAACAGATGGATAGGCTTGTCATGTCAAAGGACTCATAAAAAGACAATTAAAAGCCTTTTAAGAATGGGCTAATTGAATCATTGGGAATACAAGTCCTTGATAGGCTTTAGACTCAAATTCTTGAGCAATTCACTATGCTGAAATCAATATGCAATGTCACTTTGAGTATAGTGTTACCAGGATAACTGCCACCATAAATGCAGGCCCATATTACTTGGTAAGAAATGGCCTGACACACAGAGTTACTCATACCTATGGCCTGGGGTGCTCCAGCAGCCACATTGGGTCTCTTGCGCGGGGTGAGAGCTGGCTGGATGGGAAGAATGCCTGATATCGGCTGAGGCTGAGCCTGGCCAGCCTTGGGTCGTTGCCGAGGTGCAATTGAGGTTTCCATGGTAGGAATGGGGTCTGTGAGCCTGATGGAGGGAAAAGAGAAAACTGACTGATAATGTAGAAATGTCTTACAAAGATTACAACACTTGAATGCTTTACCTTTTACCCACCTGGCTTTGGATTGACTCTTTTTGGCCACTGCTTCACTGGCTCTGATAGGCTCAGGAAGTTTTGCAGGAATAGGTGAATTCTACAAAAGTAAGGTGATTTGCAAAGAGTTAAAAAAATCAGTGAGGCATTGCTAAAACATTTTGAGTGTCACAGTTACACTCCAGTATTGATTTGCAGTTTCCATGAATGCACCATTATTCCCCATTTTAATAATACTTAAGGGGTGAGGTCAGAATTTTGGCTGAATCAGAACATCAGTGCTGAGCTACTTTGTAAAGGCATTAGAAAAGCAGGATAAATGGAGGGCAGCCAACTGGCCAAGCAAAAAAGCTGAGCTTCTCTCCATTATCATTATGTCCTAGATTACTTTCCTTAGAAAGCAACAAAACAGTCGAATCAGTGTCTGCCTAAATTATTAGAAGAAAAGAGCTGCACAACTGTTAATGTTTAACAGTAACGCTGCAGCATATTCCCATCCCAAATTCCTGCCATTCCTCATGCCATGGCGACTTACATGCACATTTGGAACTGAACACTCTCGTCGGGCAAGTTTAAAGGCGAAGTAGGATATTTGGTAGATGTCTGGTCTCTTATCTGGGTCAGGTTCCAGCATGTATCCTGAAAAATCAAGGATGTTTAGTTTCAGTCAGAAAATGTACATTCAAACTTTTAGTAACTGCACATACACAGGATGTAGATGCTGTATGTAGGGCAGTGTGTATATTCTAAGGAACAAGGTTACTCACTGATGAGACAGTGCATGTCCTGGGAGTAGCGCGAGTTGTCTGGGATAGTAAAACTCCCATCACAGATAGCTACTTGGCTCTCCCCAAAAGGAAGCGTGAAGTAGCACAGCTTATAAAGTAGACAACCCATGGCCTGTACAGACAAGAGAGAAACACTTAAATGTGAGTCTGTGTCTAGCATGTACATACTTATACACATTATTATCATGGTGAATTTACTGTGATCATACACTCATCATAATGTAGTATATTGGTATTAAACACAGTCCTCCTCACCCAAATGTCTGCCTTTGTTGTGATGATCTTCCCACCATATAGGTTGACCATCTCTGGAGCGCGGTATGACAGAGTAGTGTACCTGGTTTTAAGAGCAGACCAATGAGCTTCTGAATGTTAATAAGAGAAAGGACAGAAGGTATAAATAACTCAGAAAACTCACTTTTTGATTTCTTCCTCCACGACGGGCACCCCCTCTGTCTGAGGGTTTTGGAAGCGGTTGGTGGCACTTCCAAAATCACAGAGCACATAGTGTCCCCGGTCATGCAGAAGAATATTTTCCACCTACATGAGGAGGACAAGAAGAGACCTATCAGGCCTGATAAATGACTTCCAAATAATCATTGTGGCCATCAATTAGCTAGCCTTATGCAACGAGTAGTACGTACGGGGAATAAATAAGACTTGCCTTGAGATCTCGATGGACGATTGGAGTCTTGCACTGGTGGAGACGAGCGACCGCCTCACACGTGTCACAAAAGATCTGTAACACCTCGGCTTCAGTGAAGCCCGTCTGTAACCGCTGGTTCATTAGGTTAACCACCTGCCCGCCTACATACAGCAAACAGGTCAATGAGTCTATTAAATATCAGCTCATGGCAAGTTGACACATATTTTTATCAATAAACAACAATTTTGTTACTGAAATCGGTTACTTGAACACTGCATGGTGGTGCTTGTAGAGAAAAAAGTGTTACAAAACTTTTAAAATTAGGTTAATACAAAAGATCTGTTCTCTGTACTCTGTGTTAACTCGACTCTACAGAGGCTTCAACAGCTACACAGTAATGTTAAAATTTCAACTTTCTATAAATAACAGCACTCAGTTATGCATCGACTGAAACAGACGTTCTATTGACCACGGCAGCTATCAGTCGAACATTTGCCTTCACACAGAACAGGATGCTGTGAGGAGCCGAGGGTAATGGAGCTTTGAATTCAACAGAGACCGAAAGGGATGGGGGGTGGCTGGTTTACCTCGACAGAAGTCCATTAAGATTAGGACTTCCCACACATCGCCAGCTCCAACTGCAGTTATGCTGGAGTCCAGGAAACCAACTATGTTTTTGTTGCCCACTAGGTCCCTCTGTGTAACCAAACAGAGAGAGAGCGACATTGACAAACAATGGAGATACAGTTTATACACAGTATCATACATACGATTTTACTCACTCAACACTTGGCTTGGTATATTACAACGTTAATCCATGTTTGTAAGTATTCTGTCTATTTTTATCTGCTGACAGATGCAGTCCAGTGATAGTCATGCCACCCAGGAACTGCTCAGTTTCACTTACAGTAAGGACTCTAGTTGGGAAATAGACAGGCAAGGGAGCTTCAACATTTTTAGAAGACTCCCATGTGTTAAAATGGCATTAATTAAAACCCAACCCTTCTGTTACCCTCACTATTTCTGGGTCAAAGAGTATTTTCAGAGTACATAGGACTTCAAGCATTCTGGGTTAGGTATGAAAAAAAAAAAAAAGCAAGTATGTAAATGTATCTCTCTATGTGTGGAAAGTTATGTTACACTAGCTGGATGTTCCTGTCCTTAATCTCTGCCCACCTCAGACTGCAAGCAGGTTAACATTACACACAATTACACACAATTACACAATCTGCTCTCACAAGATTGTCTCCTCGTAGTGTCAAAAATAAAATGTAGTTCGCTGCACTCAGCAGTCAGTTACTGGACTGTCTTACTCACCATAATCTGTATCTCAAGGTTGCAGACCTGCAGATCGTGTTCATTGTTGACATACATCCTTTTTAGTGCACAACGTAGGCCCTGGTGAGTCCGCACCAAAAAAACTATGGCAAAACCTCCTGCAAATGAGAAAAGAGAAGACGAAAAGAGAATGAACACGGACATCTCATACACTTTCATCCATAAATCAATGTAATACAGAATTACTTTCTCAAAATATCTTGTACACACTATACATGGTGACATGTTTTTTTTAAGTAAGATACTAATGAAACCTATTAAAACCTGGTTAGTTTTGCTTTTCACTACAGTCACTGTCAGTTGAGGATATTCTGTAGTGCTGCACCAGTATAACCAAGAGAGAAGACAGCCAATTGTGTGTGTCAATTAAATTGATTCTGACAGCAACATGAGACACCACAATTTATCTTTTCTGAAAGGGTCTTCAAGCCAAACATCCCTCAGCTGTGCTCTGACCCTGACAGGTCAGACATCTCTTTATCGTGGCAGCTAATGAGACTGGCTGATGGAATTGGCTTCTGCTACACGAATATGTTCATATATATGTCTTTCATGCTATCACAGCAATAAGGTAAAGAAAGGAGTGCTTAAAGGGAATACTGTATGCAATGAGCGCATGGTAAAAGGGAGCTTGAAACAGCACTGTGTGAGTCAGCAGTTACGTTGAGGGGAAGGACGCAAGAAGTAGATAAACACTGACACAAGATACAGGAACTGAGAGAATTCATCATCCCACCTATGGCCGCCGTGATGCTGACACATAGGGAAAACCACGAGATGGCTATATTCCATAGAAACTCAACAACAAACAACCACACAGTTGACTAAAACACTTATTTCTGTTAACAGATGTGAATAAATATACCTGAGACAAGGTGAGCTACAATTTACACGTCACACAATCGTTTTCAGTTTCTATACAGTAAACTGTGTCGCAAACATTATCAGTTTTGGTTGTACTGCACTGAACTGTGGACTGTGCGATTCTTTATGGTCTTCACTGACTTCTAGATGTGATCTGGCCTCAGCTTGCTTTTGGTTCTCTCTTGATTTTATGTTGACAGCATGTAGCAGCTTTCACTGTAAAAGTCTGAATTGAGTTGTTACCGCAGCTCTTCTGTTCACAGTTTTTTTCCTCTCTCACAGCTTGTGTTAATGCCATGCACTGGGCTGACTCATCCGGCTGGCACCAGTAAGCCAAGGACAGCTCCATGTGACTGATGGGTGTCGTTCTACAGACCGCCTTAGGCAACATTACTGTGGGCCTTATAATTAACAGAATGAACGGAGAACATAAAGATGATGGGTGTCAGAACAACTGAATGCTGGTTCAATAAATACAATAACCCTCACTTGTGAAAGCGGTGCTCGGTGCTGTGTCCGACAGGGTGGAGCTGGGTCACCGTGTGGGATAACACATCACAGCTCTTCTGATGTCATCAGCTACGAATTCAATACTGGAAATTTCACAATGAAGTGCAAAAAATCTGCAACACAGTGCTGCACCAGGAGACACAGTACTGGCAGAGCACTTCGTAATTAGTGTTAATAATACACTTTGCAATGTGTTTGCAAAGAAAACAATATCAAACTAACTGAGACCCGATCCTGAATAAGAATAAACATAACATACGCCTTAAGTGTGTGTGTGTGTGTGTGTGTGTGTGTGTGTGTGTGTGTGTGTGTGGGATGTCAGAGTTCAAACAGTTGAAGCCCTACTGTCTAATCTGAGATGCCTGTAAGAAAGGTGAGGGCTTAGCAGCCGTCTTAAGCAACATTTAGCAGTGGTCTACTCTCTTAGCTGACCGTGTGGACAAAGTACAGCTACAAATAGCCACTGCCTCTTGACGTAACCGACTGTCAGGATTATACCACTATAGCTTGTGCATACACGCTCGACCTCTACTACTGTGAAAAAGCGTAGTGAGCGGTCGCAATGTCGGGCCACAGTTCGGCATCAGTGTAACTTGCATAACTAAATCTTGGCTTAGGACTGCGACGCATGCCCTCACGACTACTATGCTGTTTACAAACACGCTGTAGCTGTAAGGTTACACGACACTGCAAACACAGCACAAACACAAGCACCAGTCTCACCTACTGGAGGTAAAATGAGCATGGACTGCCCAGGCTTAGTTAGAGAAAAGCTTATGCACAGAAACTAGATGATTTTGGTTTACAAATGAGGGAAGGGCTAACTGAAGCTTCATACTGTGTAGTCTGGGAACACATTTTAAATAAATCTCCAGAACAGGTCTAATGTTACCAGCATCAACTCCATACAGACAAAAGAAAACACATGTTGTTGATAGTAAAGAGAGAAGGCTGTGTCTTCAGACAACTAGCTGAGAACAACTCCCAAACAAGCCCAAATATCCAAAATAAAAACCACGACATGACGACATGATTCCAGGTATTAACCTTTGAGCCTGAAGCTACAAAAGCTAATGTGTCCCTCTGACTGCTTTTGTCTGTATTGTGAAAAGTGTGTTTATGACAACAAAGGGAATAGACAAAGGGGGAAAAAAAAAACCAGCATTTCCAAATGGAGCAGCCAGCAAACGGAAACTAATAGCCCAGAATACAACCAAAACCATCTGAATAAATAGGTCTAGTGACACCAGGGGGAATCACCGCCGGGACAAGACAAAAATATAATCTGCAGAAAAACATTCCAACTAGCATTGTTCATTTTCACAGTCTATGCAAAATCCTGTTTACGAGATCGATTACCAATCTCAGTGCTGCCTTTCTCTCAAGTGTCTGCAGGTGTTTCTACGGACTGATGAGAAAACTACAATAATCACCAAAAGACAAGAAAATTCCAGTAAAGGTTTCCACTGACGTCTCCATGTAGGGTAGAAGTGAGGTTAGATGTCTGCCCCACAGTGTGGCCAAACAGATGGGGCCCCATCTATAGTACTGATGAATTAATCAGTCTTCTTTCGTCTATTATTTAGTAGCAGGCACTCTTAGCTAGCGGAGCATGGCAGACTCTCACTGCAAAGATAAATGACCACAGGAAACCTGTAAACCTTTATCATGAAGCCTGTTTAACCGTGACCTGGTAGAGACTAGCTTTAAAGACAAGACCAGTTTCCAAAAAAACATTTCTCAGGCATTATTTGGATTCACCCACAGCTAATTGACATGTTTTAACATGGAAGAGTTGGGTATGCATTAGGTGTGAAAGGCCCACCTTATCAGGAGAACATCATAATAACCTTTAACCCCTTCTAACCAACATTAGCTGATTAAAAAACTTATAAAATCTACCATTGTGATTCGTCACTCCCTTTGTAAATACCAGGACAGATGACTCAGCAAGGCACTGGTCCTTTACAGCGCAGCAGAAAATCCAGTTGTACTATGTTCCTCCCAGCCTGGAGGTAAAGCAGTGATAGTAAAGAGAAGTGAACCTGAACTGTCACCTGCACAGCATGAACACTCCTCCCTCCCTCTCCCACATTTGATTATAATTCCTCACTTTGGTGATCAGTGCACAAAAGCAAGCACGCTCAGGCCACACAAGAAAAGTGAATGAACATCAGAAGAGCAGACTGACACTGATACTGACTTTCCCATCACTGACAAAAAGCTGGTAGTGTTGTTGCTCCAGCTGGGCCCAGTCCTTTAATGTTACCTGTCCGTCCTCTCCTCCACAGTGTTGTGCATCTGGTTAAACGTGTTTACGCGACATGTATTTTATGTATTTTATGTATGCAATGCCACACAACAGAAAAGCCACATCATTCACCTTCAGCGACAATTTCCTCCACGGTCACTTGATACCGTCCAATGGTGAAGACCCGTCCGATGAAGCTGCCACCGCCGCCGGAACCAGCGCCTCCTCCGCCGGCTCCGGAGCCAGGCCCGGAGCTCACCAACTCCCGGCGAGAATCAAAAAATTTCTTCATCTCCCCTCAGAGGTTGTCCAAAGCACGATCAAGTCCAAAATGTATTAATATCGTTAACAACAAGTGGGTAAACCCCGCCGCTGGTCGCTGAGGCGCCGGCGTTAACGCTTTAGCAATTTTTCAATAATTGAATGAGCTAGCTTCGAGCTAAATGTTAGCCAACTAGCTGAACCTCAAAAAAAAAAAAAAAAAAAATAACAACCCCGTAAACACAACTGTTTGAACAGCAGCCGGAGTCGAAATACGGGTGATAAAACAATAAGATATAAGGGTGGGAAGTCGCCGCTTTCCAGTCTGAACCGAGAGAAGACACACTGCTAGCCGTTAGCTCACCTAGCCAGCTAGCTTCAGCAGCTAGGTGCGGTGACAGCTGTCAGGTAAGACCTCAGGGTCCAATGCAGCTTATTACACATCTCCACCGACGTTTTCTTCCACCCGAAGTGTTACTTAGTTCACCTGCTGCTCGACTCTTCTGTGTCGTTGTAAAAAATAAAATAAAAAATAAAAAAAATGACTCCACTTTCTGCTGTGCGTCCAGCCGGCTGAAGGCTGGTCAACTAACTTAATGCCAGAGCTAACGGAGCTACAAACACAGTGGATGCTAAGTGGGAAGAGACGCTCTGTTGTGATTGGTCACATGAACAACGACTTCCTGTCAGTCTGCTCTAGTCCCACAGCGCCTCTAAGCTCCCACAAGGAGCTTCTAGTCCCGGTCTAGTCAGGCCTCAGTCCCACAGCCTCTAGTCCCACAGCTCTAGTCCCCCAGGAAGTCTAGTCCCGGCCCGCACCACCCTACGTCGCGCTCCAGGCTTAGTCCCCCCACACTCTGCTCCCATCAGGCTCTAGTCCCTCAGGCTCTAGTCCCCCAGGCTCTATCCCCAGGCTCGTAGTCCCCAACAGGCTCTAGGT